CCAAGCCCAGGTACGTGAAAGGTCATAGGCTGACTATGAAAAGTTCTAAAACTGTGAAAGAACTCTTGAATCCATTCATTTCAACTTCTAAAATAACTGCATTGAAAGAACTGACTATGAAATTCTAGAACTGTGAAAAGAACTTTCATCCATTCATTTCAACTCTTCTTATTAATAACTGCATTGTTTCTTTCCAAGTACTAGGGTGGGCTGAAAAGTTCATAGGCTGACTATGAAGAAGTAATTCTAGAACTGTGAAATCTTGCATCCATTCATTTCAACCCTTGTTATTAATAACTGCATTGTTTCTTTCCAGGTAACTGGTTGGGCTGAAATGTTCATAGGCTGACTATGAAGAAGTGATTCTAGAACTGTGAAAGAACTGTTAAATCTTGCATCCATTCATTTCAACTCTTCTTATTAATAACTGCATTGTTTCTTTCCAAGTACGTGGGTGGGCTGAAAAGTTCATAGGCTGACTATGAAGAAGTGATTCTAGAACTTTAAAATCTTGCATCCATTCATTTCAACTCTTCTTATTAATAACTGCATTGTTTCTTTCCATGTACCTGGGCAGGTTCTTGGCTCAAGAAGTTCATAACTGGAAATCTTGACATTCATTTCAAACCTTCATATAAATAACTGCATTGTTTATTTTTAAGAAGGGATTCTAGAACTGTGAAAAAGAACTGTGAAATCTTGCATCCATTCATTTCAACTCTTCTTATTAATAACTGCATTGTTTCTTTCCAAGTACTAGGGTGGGCTGAAAAGTTCATAGGCTGACTATGAAGAAATGATTCTAGAACTGTGAAAGAACTGTGTAATCTTGCATCCATTCATTTCAACTCTTCTTAATAATAACTGCATTGTTTCTTTCCAGATACGTGGCTGGGCTGAAAAGTTCATAGGTTGGGTATGAAGAAATGATTCTAGAACTGTGAAAGAACTGTGTAATCTTGCATCCATTCATTTCAACTCTTCTTATTAATAACTGCATTGTTTCTTTCCAAGTACTAGGGTGGGCTGAAAAGTTCATAGGCTGACTATGAAGAAATGATTCTAGAACTGTGAAAGAACTGTGTAATCTTGCATCTATTCATTTCAACTCTTCTTAATAATAACTGCATTGTTTCTTTCCAGGTACGTGGCTGGGCTGAAAAGTTCATAGGCTGAGTATGAAGAAATGATTCTAGAACTGTGAAAGAACTGTGAAATCTTGCATCTATTCATTTCAACTCTTCTTATTAATAACTGCTTTGTTTCATTTCACGTAAGTGGGTGGGCTCAAAAGTTCATAGCCTGACTATGAAGAAGTGATTCTAGAACTGTGAAATCTTGCATCCATTCATTTCAACTCTTCTTATTAATAACTGCATTGTTTCTTTCCAGGTACGTGGATGGGCTGAAAAGTTCATAGGCTGACTATGAAGAAGGGATTCTAGAACTGTGAAAGAACTGTGAAATCTTTCATCCATTCATTTCAACTATTCTTACTAATAACGGCATTGTTTCTTTCCAGGTACGTGGGTGGGCTGAAAAGTTCATAGGCTGAATATGAGGAAGTGATTCTTGGACTGTGAAAGAACTGTGAAATCTTGCATCCATTTATTTCAACTCTTCTTATTAATAACGGCATTGTTTCTTTCCATGTACGTGGGTGGGCTGAAAAGTTCATAGGCCGACTATGAAGAAGTGATTCTAGAACTGTGAAATCTTGCATCCATTCATTTTAACTCTTCTTATTAATAACTGCATTGTTTCTTTCCACGTACGTGGGTGGGCTGAAAATTTCATAGGCCGACTATGAAGAAGTGATTCTAGAAATGTGAAATCTTGCATACATCCATTTCAACTCTTCTTATTAATAACTGCATTGTTTCTTTCCAAGTACGTGGATGGGCTGAAAAGTTCATAGGCTGACTATGAAGAAATGATTCTACAACTGTGAAATTCTGCAGGCATTCATTTCAAATCTTCATATAAATAAGTGCATTGTTACTTTTTATGTAGGTGGGTGGGCTGAAAAGGTCATAGGCTGACTATGATGAAGTGATTCTAGAACTGTGAAATCTTGCAGGCATTCATTTCAAATCTTCATATAAATAATTGCATTGTTTATTTTTAGGTGCGTGGGTGGACTGAAAAGTTCATAGGCTGACTATGAAGAAGTGATTCTAGAACTGTGAAAGTACTGTGAAATCTTGCATCCATTCATTTCAACTCTTCTTTTTAATAACTGCATTGTTTATTTCCATGTAAACTGGAATCTGACTTTTCAAAGAAGTTCGTAAAAAATGTCATCAACAGAAGATATGACATCATCATCACTGCTTTACTGGGTCCCAACCAAGTTTTTTTTTTAATGCGAGGGAACAGATGATAGTCAATTCAGGAAAATAGTGATGGCTGAAAATCACAGTAACGTACTGTAGCCATGGAAACCAAGGACCTCCTCGCTGGAACATTGTCGTAATGAAACAAGCACCGTTTTATCAGGGTTTTTTTTTGGCGTTTGGCGTTGATGGCCTTTCGTAACTGCGTCAAGTTCGTATAGTATGGTGTGGCCTTTTTGAAGATAGTCAATAAGCAAAATTCTTTTTGCATTCTGAAAAACAGAGGCCATCACCTTCCGTGCAGGTGAGACGACCTTAGCCTTCTTTGGTGCAGATGAGGAGGAGTGTTTCCCTGCATGGATTAATTCTTTGTCTCTGGCTCAAAGTGATGAACCAAACACTGATCCTGGGTTAGGAACCATTCAAGGAAACCTGCTGAATCTGCCTGAAACAATGTCAGATTTTCTGTGATATGATTAGTCTGGTGTATTTTTAGTCAGGTATCAGAAGAAGTGGCACTCATCAAGCAGAAACCTTCGTTATGCCAAGTTCACTGTGCAAAATATTCTCAAACTTCTCACGCGATAAGCCAATAGCATTAATCTATTTGATATATAATCAATCACGTGTCATCTATCACCATGTGCTGAACATGATCCATGTTTTGCTCGGTGATGGCAGTTACAGAACGTCTGGAAATTCAAAGCTCTCTCGACCCCTCCTAAATACAGCTTCCAACTTTTGTATTGTTGATAAAAGTTGGAACGTTATTCCCTAATGTATCAAGCATGTCAGCATAAAATGTCTTTGGGGTTAAACCATTTTTCTGCAGGTACTGGTCAATATCACGATGCCAAATGTTGTTCATTTTCAAGAAAAATCGCTACTAGTTACTTTTGAAATCTTCTTCGAAAGGTCAAATGTCAAAAAACTTGGAAAGAAACGATGCAGTTATTAATAATAAGAGGTTAAATTAATGCACAGTGCAGAAGTCTCACAGAAACCTGAAAGTTCATCAGGCTTTCAAAGTCAGACTACGAACTTTTCAGATTTACACTTGTGTCTTGTAATCTACTCTACTGAAGTGTCTTTTCGTTGCTTATAAATAATATAAATCAACCATCCTTCAGCATTCGTGGAATAGTGGAGGTGGATTCTACCTCATTTTATTTGAACACGGATCAGACCACCATCATCATCACCATTGTCATCACCGGCATCATCAACGTCATCGTCATCACCTCCATCATCATCGTCATCATCATCATCATCATCATCACCGTCGTCATCACCTTCACCACCATCGTCATCATCATCACCTCCATTTCATCATCATCATCACCTCGAACATCATCATCATCACCATCGTCATCAACATCATTGCTTAATCAACATCATCATCACATCCTTCATCATCATCATCGTCAACATCATTTCATCATCATCATCATCACCTCCATCATCATCATCATCATCACCATCGTCATCACCTCCATCATCATCGTCATCATCATCATCATCACCGTCGTCATCACCTTCACCACCATCGTCATCATCATCACCTCCATCGTCATCATCATCATCACCTCCATCATCATCATCATCATCACCATCGTCATCAACATCATAATCATCATCATCATCACCTCCATCATCATCATCATCGTCAACATCATCATCATCATCATCATCACCTCCATCCTCATCATCATCATCATCACCATCGTCATCATCTCCATCATCATCATCATCATCATCACCTTCATCATCATCATCATCATCATCATCTCCATCGGTATCATCATCATCATCATCTCCATCATTATCGCCATCATCATCATCAGCGATGACTTCGCGATAGAAGACTATGTAGGACATTCTACAATAGTTTCTGTCCCTCCTCACATTGGTTTCGGGAGACACGTAAAAGCAAGATTTTCATGGTGGACATTACTGGCATACTGATGCGTACACATTATTGTCTGTACACTTCCAACCAAATGTTCATTTTGCAATGTTCCAGCACGTTGAAATGTTGGCAGTAAGTTTCCGAATATAGGGAGCTATGGCTCATTCGAAGAGTATTTCGTGGGCCTGATTGATCGGGTATATATTAAAGTTATCATCTTGTAACACAATATTTTTTTCTTTTACAATGATGCTGATTATACATAATCTCCTACAAGTCCTTCCTATCAACTTGTTTCTTTCGATGAAACAAGGTTTTAATCAAACAGAAAGATTCCCACCTAATAACAAATACGAATAACATCAACGTACCGGAAGTCAACCTTTTCTGGCTTTTATGTAGCCGATGTTTATGTAATTGTTGTTTGCATTTAACATTAGAGTTTCGAGTTGAACATTTTTTTAATTGCTTCCTTTCGTTCTTATGATTTATGTGGCGTTAAATTTACTTTTTCACAGAGAATCGAATAGTTATGTAACAGATATTATTGTTAACTGTAAGAATAAAACTATAATATTATTTCTTATTTACTATCAGTTTCATGTATTAAACTGATTTACTAATATTGAGCCGATGTCATCAAAACAAATTCAGTATGGTTAATCAGAAAAGTAAGAAAATGATATACGGATCGAATAGAATTGCAATATCTATCTATCTATCTATTAGGTTGGTGCAAAAATAATGACGTAATAATGTCGTTTTTGGTCTTTTTAACGTCAAAAAACGACATCATTACGTCATTATTTTTGCACCAACCTAATATCTATCTATCTATCTATCTATCTATCTATCTATCTATCTATCTATCTATCTATCTGTCCCAGTCTGTTCATATCTATCTATCTATCTATCTATATATATATATATATATATATATATATATAATAGGGATATGTATGTATGTGGAGATAGATGGGTGTTCGGATGTGTGTAGAGATGTGTTTGTGTATGGATATATGGAATATTATAAAAGAAGACCTAATTTTCTGTAGTAATGTTTTATCCAACTTTCTCCTCGAATATTCCCCAATTGGAAATAAGTCTAAATAATACGGAGGTAAATTTTAAATTGATAATTTAATTTAAATTGAAATATATTACCCTTTAATAATCATTATTGTGATAAAATTATTTAAATAGGAATATCTAAAAACAGTCACGAGTTTAATTTATGAACAAAACTCAAACGGATAGATGTCAACTTAATAATCAACAAGAAAAAGTTTAGGAAAATAAAAAGATTACTAGATGTAAAAGGAATTTATTCTTTCAATGCAGTTTCTATGAATTTTTTCCAATCGACTATTTCATGGAAAATACCCAAAACTCCAACAAACATCAAATTAAATTCTTCGTAGATTTTGTAGACATTTAGATTTATATCAAACTTTAACCCCCAAATATACCCTTTAAAGTAATGCGAAATAACAGAGTCCAAGAAATTGAGTGAAACCTTCTCTCATCAGGATTGTTTTATTGTATCTTCTTCCTTTTATGTCGGCTTTCCTCTTCACCACTTACCCATCCATATCTAAAGATAACATAAGTCAAGTGAATCGTTTGTCTGGCCCACACCAAGTGGGGTTAGGGATAAAGAATTGAAATGGTACATCTAACTCACTCATGTCTTCTCTCCCCCCTCACTTCCTCACTTTGTTAATTTACATATGCTTAATACGGCCCGTCAAAAATGTGTAAATTTCATTTTTCATTTCAACCTTTGGAAGTAAAGTCTAATGATCCAGAGTCCTTTAAAAGGGCTGTGGTGAAATAATTTATTACATGGAACCTTAGTGGTCTGTTTTTATTCATATATATATATTATATATATATATATATATATATATATATATATATATATATATATATATATATATATATATATATAAAGTGGATACAACGTCTAAAAACACAATATCCAGCCGGGCTAAACCATAAATTTAACAATATAGATAGTACTAATATATAACTCAACAAATCAAAACCTACCCACATTTCTCACCCACACAAGACAGACATGCTTACGGAGGTGTTGAGGCCTCACACATATACACACAACCACACGAATATACACACTTACACACATCATACTCTCTCACTCCCTAATGTGTCAAATGATAACTCAAACCCACAGCAATACACACGCTTACACATATCATACTCACTCACTCCCTAAGAACCAAATAACACACACACACACACACACTTAACAGAGACACACCCCCTCTCCAGGAACCAATAAAACTGTCAAACTGACTAGGGGAATTCAGAGCAGCAGGGATCCATCCAGCTCTTATCTCAAATAACAACTTAAAAGAGACTGTTTGACCAACACAAGGGATGTTAAAAGATTCATGTTAAAAAGATAAAAAAATAAAAAAAAACAAATGAAAACTACAGACAAAAGTTCATTTTCTCCATCAAGACATTCATTTCTGTAGTTTACTGCTACCAGCAAGCAGAAATATTTCTTCTCCTGATGATGGCCATTTTGGCCGAAACTAGTCGAGGAATCTAAATGAAATAATAATAAAAAAACGAAAGAATATTAATCTACAACCCAGTGTGTCTGAAGATTTTAATTTTTTATATTTTTTTTTATTGTTCAATATATATATATATATATATATATATATATATATATATATATATATATATATATATATATATATATATTCTTATATCCCGACAACTCTCTTATATCCAATATATATATATATATATATATATATATATATATATATATATATATATATTTATATATATTTATATGTATATATTTGTTCATATCTACCTGTTTAAAAAAATTTGTTCATATCTATCTATCTATCTATCTATCTATCTATCTATCTATCTATCTGTCTGCTTAATGTCTCTCTGTTTATCTCTCTCTCTTTCTCTCTCTCTCTCTATATATATATATATATATATATATAAGCTATATAAATTATAACATGAAATATTGTTTATCTTAGTGTAGTAGTTACTATTTTTTTTTAAAATACTTATTTGAGAATAGATGAGCGCCAATGTTGGAAATAATATTTTCAATTCACTCTGTTCTTCATTGACTATATAATGGATTTGTGTAAAAGAAGATTTGAAGAACTGGAATGCAGAGACGAAAATAGAGATGATGATGATGATGATGATGATATCATTTGAAAGTCAGGCTTGCAAAACCTAAATTTCAAAGAAGATTAATCAAAATAAACTCTTTTAAAAATTGTGGGACAAGAATAAAGCTTTAGTGAAAACGTAGCTTGAAGCTATTGTAAGATTCAAGAAAATATTTTCAATGGACCTATGTAGTGGAATGATGGGGTCGCCATGGCTTTTATGGCTTGAATTAAAAATGGCTAAGAAAGCAGAGAAGGAATTTAGCTTTATAAAAAAGAAGGTGGTGGAACATGTTGGTTTGAGGAACGAAAAGCAAAGAAGAAGAAGAAGAAAAAGAAGAAGAAGCATTGTGCCTGGAACAATTAAATAGGATAAAGTTGGAGTACTTGGAACGAGTCTATCAAAAAGGTAGAAATAACATGTTTAAGGGAGAATGGAGACCATAAAAATAAGATTCAGGCATCGACTTGGAAATAAAAATACGTGAAGATAACATAAATTTGAGAAAATAAAACAAAGATGATTCCAATGAGCAAATTTTCAGCAGAAATGATACACACGCTTTATTAATAAAAAAACAATAGAAGTCCATTGTTTTATTGTCTTATATTTTACATTATTTACATTATTCAGACTATTGTCCTCATCTTTGTCACCATATTTATCACAACGCTTCGGCCGTTGTACGCTCCGGCAAAAAAAGTGTTAAGTTCAACATTCCAACCACCTGAAGAAAGCCGGAGCGTACAACAAATGAAATTTTGTAAAAATATGGCGACAAAGATGAGGACAATATAACTGAATAATGTAAATAATATATATGATATTTTCATCTCAGAAATATAGACAGATACTGAAAGGCCGAAACGTTGTAATAAATATGGTGACGAAGATGAGGACAATTGTCCGAATAATGTAAATAGTGTACATAATACCTCATCTCAGAAATATAGACAGATACTGAAAGGCCGAAACGTTGTAATAAATATGGCGACGAAGATGAGGATTGTTGTCCGAATAATATAAAAAGTGTACATAATACCTCATCTCAGAAATATAGACAGATACTGAAAGGCCGAAACGTTGTAATAAATATGGTGACAAAGATGAGGACAATAGTCTGAATAATGTAAATAATGTACATAATACCTCATCACAGAAATATAGACAGATACTGAAAGGCCGAAACTTTGCAAAAGAAATGGTGACAAAGATGAGGAAAATGGTCCGAATAATGTAAATAGTGTACATGATACCTCACCTGAGAAATATAGACATATACTGAAGGGCCGAAACGTTGTAATAAATATGGTGACATAGATGAGGACACTAGTCCGAATAATGTAAATAGTGTACATAATACCTCATCTCATAAATTTAGACAGCCGCTGAAAGGCCGAAACTTTGTAAGAAATATGGTGACAAAGATGAGGAAAATAGTCCGAATAATGTAAATAGTGTACATGATACCTCATCTCAGAAATATAGACAGATACTGAAGGGCCGAAACGTTGTAATAAATATGGTGACAAAGATGAGGACAATAGTCCGAATAATGTAAATAGTGTACATAATACCTCATCTCAGAAATATAGACAGTCTTATATTCTGTTGCTATTCAGATCACCAATCTGTAACGTTTAGTAAATACTGAGCATTAGAAGTAAAGAATAAGGATAAAGAATTCGATAATCAGACTCTAGGCAAATACGACACGTTTTGCCATCACAATTAGAAAGACATAATTTGTTGGTAACGGTAATTCAAAAGGAATTGTGTAAGTTGACAACGATACGAATACGTATTAAACGAATGGGAAAAGTAAAATTCTGTTGTATTTTGAAATTCAAGACGAAATTCATCTCACATCACTTTGAATCTGAGACTCTTGTCTCCGTACGACTTTAACTAAGACGTGGGAGGGGGGGCGGTGAAAAAGTTCTCACCCCAACCATTATCCACAATCTGACCAAAACTCAGAAAGTTTTGTTATTGTTCTGTCCAGTAAATGTTCACCGCCGTCATTGTTGATCAAGGTAAAGTGACTTATGTAATATTAACCAGTGCTGAAAACTTTCCGGTTCGGCCTACGTCATAAAATCAGTCTTTCAATGATCAAACATCGGAATACTGATTTTAGGTCGAGCTTAGAACTTTTCCGCACAACATCGAATATTAATACTAAAAGAAAAGTATAGATGATACAGGAAAATGGTAAAAAGTCCATGTGAATAAACAGAATTTGATCCGATAATCATAAAATACGAAGCTTTCTATTTATTTCCAAGCTAGCGACAACAGATATTAGGAGCAGAATTTTAAAAAAAAACATCGTGGTTCTCCGCAGATTCATTTTCTTGGGAAATATTAGTGGTTTCCCGTTGCTTTCTCCACAGTTTGAAATTCAGAGTGATTGCCAGCCAAGACTAGAGAATTCAGTTTAGCGTTCCATTTTCCTGGTGGCAAGAAATTTTCATAAATTGACCAAAAATGCATTTGTGCGAATACGAAAAAGGAATAGGGAACAAACAAGAAGTAAAAAGATCTGATTGATCAGGAACGGTGATTCAGATGAAATTGTGCAAATGGCTGCGATACAAGCACGTAAATCAATGGGAGAAGTAAATGTTCGGTGGAATTTTGAAATTCAAACGAATGATACAATCCGAGCCAGAAGACTACGGAATATAATGGTGACAATCG